GTTCAGCATCGTCAGAAAATACCTGAATGCTTCAAAAGGATATAGCAAAGCATTTAGTTTGAAGTGAAGTTTTTGTTAATGAACTATGTCTTCTAATTTGCAGGTGCAGTTACTTGGTTTTGCTGTCAATAGTGTCAGTCCATGCCCAACTGACTCCCAAATGCATTAGTGGGATCCCTCTCTTTACTTGACTGTATGCAGTTGGTCTCATAAAACCATCCAAGCAGTGCGTTTCTGGGCATTTCTCAACTTTTCAAAGGTTTATAGGTGCTGGCTTTTGTCTCTTGTGTCTTTTAAGACCTAAGATGGTCTTGTTCATTGTAACTACAAGGAATGTCTGTGTTTGTTACTTCAGAGAACAATACCCGATGTATTGTCACTTCCCACCTTGCATTACTTTTGTTCATTCGTCTCATTCATTCACTTTCTTTACTAGCCAATTTTTCATTACTCTATTGACCATGGAGTGTCATATAGGTGTTGCAAACATTTACCTCAAATTCATGCTTTTGAAGTTTTTCTTTTGCCTAGCCAATTTCAAGCAAAACATGTTAGAAAACAGGTGAGCCATGTTACAGAAAGGGCTAATCAGAAGCCTTGTATAACCTAACAAACACAATCTCGCTCCTGTCTTTATTACATATGTAAAACTGAACATTTTTTCTCCGTTGTCAGTGGCACCATAACTTGTTATCAAATACTTTGTTAACAAAGTTTGTTAGCAATATTGTTGCAGCACTCTCCTCCCTTTACAACTAAAATGTGCTCATTGTCATAAAAGGGTTAAAAATCCAATTTGAATGTTCACCTGTCTTTCATATGACAGTATATTTTTCTGATGTTTCTTTGAAGAAAATTTGCAATGGTTTGCTTTAGAAAACAGTAAAAGAATGAATCCCCCCACCTAATTGTTAATTGCTCAGAATATTGCAAAACTTAATGATACGTGGAAGTCTTTAAGTATCAGCCATAAATCATGGGATTATGAATAAGCCTTTGTTGTCACAGGCTTGCATACAGTCATTCCAAAACGTCTGCCATTAGGATGCAGCAAGGCAGCTGTCAGCTGTTTTCTTGTAATTAAACAGCCAATGAGCAGCTAATTAAGACATATGTGTATACAGAAGTGGAAGTGGGTATGTTAATGAACTGTAGGAATCAATTCATTAAATGAAAATTTGTCAAAAAACCAAACATGAGATCAGCATTTCAGCCTGTGCTGCAGTGGAGAAGGAGTCTGTGCTGTGCCATTTGGGACATCAGGGAAGCACAACTGGCTTTTCCCCTGCTAAGGAGCAAGCTTAGACACAAACATCTGTAGTAACGAGCCACTGAGCAGTGAAGTTATTGAGACTATTAATAGACTGTGCGAAAACTGCTATTTACATTTCAAAGTTCTTTTTTAACAAGTTGTTATTCAAACTGACTTAGAGATGAAAAGTTCTTGCGCCCTTTTTTCCCAAACTTGATTTCTTGGCAGCATATGAAAAACCATATATTGTGTTGTATATAAATAGGAGTCTGAAATGCGGAGATGAAGCTAGGGCTTGTAATCTGCTCTGCTCTTCTTCTGGCACTGTGTTAAGACATCTACATAAAAAGGGAGACATGCAAAGCTCAACGACGCCTCACCAAAATCAGCTGGATCTTTATACTGACATCAGAAGGAAGCAGGGCTCCATGCAGTCATAGGAGTGCTTTCTGCCAGAGACAGAGTGGTGTAACGCGGTGACATTTTCTAGTGCAGGAGTGGTTTTGTTTGTGTGTTTGATCAAGAGGGGTCCACTCTGCCTGTGGCCCATTAGGCAATCGTCTGAATGTGAAATAATGGTTGTGAACATGCATGCAATTAAGAGCATGTGGCCTGGGCCAGTTTGCATAATGCTTGAATGTATACACGTGTACCATGCATGCATTCACCTCCTCCTTCCTGGTGGAAAAATTGTAGCTAGCTGTTTGCCTCTGGCAAAAGAGAGGAAATAGAACAACAGAATATAGCATCTCTCCTTCTCTTCTTCTAGTAAAAGGGGGGGAAAACCCCAAGCTAGGAAGAAACTGTATTTACTTATGGAAGGCTCCTGTAATAGGGGCTTCCCCACATGTCTTATAATGATATGAGAGCCCAGGGACCGCCAGAAGGTCTGAAAACTCACAAATAAATGACAACAATATAGAAGAACTTTGAGAGTAAAAAACCTTCAGTTTAACTTCATTGGCTTTTCAATCCCAAAACTCAGATATGTCTGGTTTTGAGCTTTGGACAAGTTTAGATTAATTTCTGAACTTTGAGGCAAGGTTGGGGTGGGGTTTTTTTGGTTTTGTTGTTTTTTTTTGCTTTAGCTACTGCCGATGTTTTCAACATGCCCACATAATGTTGTAGGGTTTGTTTTAAAAAGCACTCCACTACATCTCTGGTTTGTAAAGTGCAAGTGCTTTTAAAAGGCCCCAGTTGCAGGCAGTTCTGCTCTACTGAAAATTTAGCTCCAAGCTGTAACTTAGCTGATATATTGTACGCTAAAATGTATTGAGCAGCTGTGTCTCTAGGGAAAATCTGGAAAAGCAAACAGCCCAGTATTTTCTCCATTATAGTTCTAAAAATAATCTTCAGCTTGACAAAAATATTCTTAATAAAGAGAAATATGCCAGACTGGCAATAGAGACTCAATATATGTCCCAGCTAAAGGAAAACTTTTAGATCTTTAAGGTTATTGGGCCAGGTTCATTTTACATCTTGATTAAGCTGACTTTCAGGATCTCAGTAGTGGCAGAAGATTTCATACAGTTCATATGTGAGCATGTCATTTGATGCAACTGTTAAACTGTTTGCAGAACTGAAGTTTTAAGGGACTGATAATCCGGAGATGCAGAACCTTGATCAGTAAGTCACCAGTCAGGTCGATACCTGATCCTGTTTTTCTAGTGAATCGCATTGCACTTGCATGTGTACTTGCACTGGAGTGACAGGCTCCACAAAGGGTGCTAACAGAACTGGAAATTAAGCTATCTACTTACCTAAGAGTTGGTTCCTCCAGAGGGACCAGTCATGATGCTTGGTATGGTAGAAATTGGTATGGTAGAGATTTCCATGGCATTTCAGGTTTCCTTTAGGATGAAATGCACTCAATCAGAGCTCAGTATGTGCAATTCTTTCAGTCTTGGTGACAATCATCTCCCTATTGACAAACATTAAAAAACAGTTGAAAGTTCAATCACATAGAAACAAAGACCAGAATAAATGGGTGAGAAACAAGGTACAGGAAAACAAGATTAAAGAACAGGCATCTTCAGTTTCCTCATTTTTTTTACACTCCATGTTTCCCTATTAAAGCTTTCATAAAAGGGGCATAATTGATGCAGACTGGTGCCCTCCTCATAAGATGGAGCAGGGAGCTTTATCTCAGTGTTTTGTCATGTTTCTGTCTGCAGGGAGTTTGCTGGGAGGTCTCTTACTTGTCATGCAGAAGTCCTCCTGTTGTTTATTTCACCAAGTGTCTGGACAGAGTGTGCCTGTGCCGAGGGACTCCAGAATGTGGCCTTTGAATAAATAAAAAATTGGTAAAAGTCCAACTTTAATTAAAAGGTGCCCAGCCTTTCTGAGGAAGTATTTTCTTTGCAGCATTGTTAATTAATCCATTATGTAGCAACATAAAACTAAAATACTGTGCTCACTGATCTCAAATGCCTCTTTAGAATGACTACAACTTTGCAGAATCCTTGTGAAGTAGGTATTACACACACACTGGCTTATGTTTGGACAGTCTGTGGCAAAAAGATGGAATGAACTTCAAAGCAAACAGCTGGCATAGTGGTTAATAACATGCACCATTGTGATGGAGAGAGCTAAGTTGTAACTACTGAGTAACCTTCCAGCGTTAACTTTCTTTGGAGATGGGTCTGCCCATTGCAGTTGACTCAGAAAAGAGGTAATACATAAAATCTGTTTCAGCTTCCCCCCTCCTTAAAAATCTAAATCCTGCACAGAGTTGAACAAAACCTCAGTTGTCAGCATGAAACTAATTAAGAAAAAATATTTTTTAAAATTGTTCTTTATAGAAGGAACTGCTCAGCATCATGCTCTGTATTTTTAAACACATGCATACATTGGTGAGGCTGAACATCAAAGCCTGCTATTGTCATCTCCAAAGAGCAGAACAGGGTCGCAGCTGTTGAATTAACTAGCTGTTAAATCTTCCCTATTTTGGAGATCTATGCTGACCCAGGAAAGATAGGAGATCAAGGAAATCTGGGTCTATAATTAGTTATATCTCACTTGGAAAGGATCGGTGTACCATATGTAATATGGGATCTGTAAAATCAGTGAAAAAGTGTGTAATTCCTTTATGTCTCATAACACTTTTTTTTATGAACTGTTTCCTACTAGTTACTGTTTTTTGTTTGTTTCTAGGAGAGGAAAAAAAAACAACCTCTTAACTTCCTTTAGTTGACTATAGTGCACTTGAACTTCATTTTCTATTAGGTATGCTACCTTTCAGAGTCTTTATTTGCTTCACCAGTTAACAGCTTCGTGATTTGTATTTTGCAACTCTATTACAGGGCTTTTTCAGGAGGAGTCAGCAAAGCAATGCTACGTACTCCTGTCCTCGTCAGAAGAACTGCTTGATTGACCGAACTAGTAGAAACCGCTGCCAACACTGTCGATTACAGAAATGCCTTGCTGTGGGGATGTCTCGAGATGGTAAGCTCTGCTAACACATAGCTTAAATGCAAAAAGTAAAATAATGTTTAGTACACTGTGTGTTCAACTGAAACAACATAGGATTTAAAAGTTAATTGTGCATTGGGCCAATAGTTGAGATCATAGACTGGGTTTTATATGTTGCTATATATTCACGTAAATATATATAAATCAGGGCATGTATGAAGTTCTTAGGTGTTTGGGGTTTTTTTTTTTCCTACTTATCTAGTATAGTTCCCGGTTAAGAGCTTTGCCTCTGGTCACTTCTTGAAGATGCAGTTTTTAGTCTAATATTAATACTTCCTCTATGTGTTCATTCCAATTTAAGTGACATACTATAGTTGCAAGTAACACTCTGATTGCCATAGTGGTATAGATCAGAACTGTTTCACAATATATAGAGAAGTTCAAACGTGTGTATAATGAGTAATGGAAAAGAATGCAAAGAGAAAATAGTGCAGTGTTTTTTCAAAGAGAGAATCCTGAAGAAAATGTGTTCCAATGCTGTTAATATTAAGCTCAAAATTACACCTAGCGTAATGACAAAAACCCACCTCTGTAAAATGGAAGCTTATGTAACTCAATTAGAACTGGATTTGCAGCTGATATTTGCAGACCTCCCCCATAGATGTAATGAAGCTGCCATTGCTTCCCCAGTTTGAAGATACGACTCAGTCTTTTCCCCTGCAATAGTGACAACAACGCTACGTGTTCTACAAATACGTGTGCATTACTCTGTGTACGTGAGGCCTGATTAAGGAGATCATTTTCAAATTACATTTACCTCTTGAATTACAAACTCTTAATTTTTTTATTGGGCATGAAACTAAAAACCTGAAACAGTTGATCATGTAATGACTAGTCCCTCCAACATGTTTGCTTTCCTGTAGAAAAGTACAATGTGGTAGTCATCTTCCTAAACGATAAGGCTTTTATAGCTGATACGGGTCCCAGAAATCACATACCATGTTCTTAGGAATTCCCTGGATGTGCCAAACCAGTTGCTTCTGGCTTATGCTTAATAGTTATACTTCTCAAAGTAGTAATAATTTTGCGGAGAGTTACACACGCACGTGCACATACATACAGTTTTAACGATAATTCACCGGGTAAACATTTTTGCTTGTCACAGTAAGCCGCACTGAAAGCGTGTTCTGTGGTTCTTCCCATGTGCTTCAGTCCTAATATCAATAAAGCTTGCTTTTGATACCCTTTGAGATAGACCCCACATGTTGGTACCTAACTCGAGGTTCACTCTGTAGTACGAATACGCAGCTAGCAGGAAATGGATGCTTCATGTCAGGCCGGCATATTCTGTCTTAGCTTCTACTTTTCCAGATAGGACTTGAATGCTGGAGAGACACATCTGTCGAGTTCGGTGGATATGTAAGAGAAAATCTTTTCAGTATAGAATTGGAAAGTTAATGAATTAAGCTAAACCAGTGACTTCTAATGGTCCACTTAAGTAACACGTTAAAATGGTCTTTTACAGAGTAGGTACTGCAGCTACGTTACCTGTAACTGACTGACAGAAGTGATTCTTAGGTCTGCCCATCCTGCTGTCTGCCTTTTACACTGTGTCCTTACGTGTAGTATTCAAAGACAATTAAAATGCAGTAGTGGATTTGTAGAAATGTAATATGTTTTGTGTCTGTATTTCAGCTGTAAAGTTTGGTCGAATGTCAAAGAAGCAGAGGGACAGCCTGTATGCGGAGGTGCAGAAACATCGAATGCAGCAGCAGCAGCGAGATCATCAGCAGCAACCAGGAGAGGCAGAACCACTAACACCAACATACAATATCACCACCAATGGGTTAACAGAGCTACATGATGACCTCAGTAATTACATTGATGGGCATACCCCTGAAGGTAGCAAAGCAGACTCTGCAGTTAGCAGCTTCTACTTAGACATACAGCCTTCTCCAGATCAGTCGGGTCTTGATATTAATGGAATCAAACCAGAACCAATATGTGACTACACACCAGCATCGGGCTTCTTCCCTTATTGTTCTTTTACAAATGGGGAGACCTCTCCAACTGTGTCCATGGCAGAATTAGGTAATGAGAGAGAAAAGCTTCCGTTGTAATTGTCTTAATAGTACCCTTTGGATTAAAGTGACACGTTTAGCCAGGTGATAGCGAGAATGCTGCTTCAGTACAGCTGTGAGCATGTACGGGCATTCTTCTGTGAAGTGCACAATACCCTAATCGGGGTACGGGGTGAACACTTTACGGAACTGGACTAAAAATTGCTGGAGCCTGTGGTTGATCAGCTCTAGCAGTGTTGCTTTTGTTTTCAGTCCTTGTAATAGAACCCTCTGAATATTGATTAACAAGCTAATTTGTGGTGCTGAGCAAACAAACAGTATTTCTTTATTTGCAGATTATTTTTGAACATTTTATCTTCTTTTTTGTTATCTCAATGCTTTTATTTTCTAACAAAAAGTGATGAGGCTGATTGTCCTCTGCTCTTTACCTGTACCTGGGAAATAGGAAACCAAAGCACCAGTCTAATCTGAGGGCAGTTCTCCTTGCCACTGGTTGAAGAGAATCTGGCCCCAGATACTTCAGGAAATTTTTGAATGTAGCAAGTTTTGATAATTTCCCTAAAAGCCTCATAATGACCACATTAATGAGCACATTTTACTTCAGACTCTTCCCTGAATGATTACACTAGGGCTGAATTCCACAACTATAACTTGTCAACATCTGAGGCTCGAGTTAGAGCGTGCTGTGTGAACTGATTATAAGCAAAGTGGAACAGGACATTAGAGAAGTGGCTTTACGATTCTATTACTTATATAAGGCTTTACGATTCTATTACTTATATAAGCAGTCAGGCGTTTAAAACAGTGATTTTGCTTGCTTAAGCAACATTTTTGCTAATTATTCCATTATGAAAACCTAAACATAGTTTGAAAAACCAGGTATTCCAAGTTTAAATTTTTCTCTCTTTTCTAACTTTTTTTAATTAGAGGCAAGTACCTGATATGAAATTTTGCTTGCTTTATTTTACTTTATGTTTTGAGAAATTTTGCAGAGAGGAAGGGGACAAGGCTTGCTTTTTAATGTCCTTATGTTGCAGAATGCAGTTCACTGCAATACAATTTGTTGTGACAGCCAAAATATTGTGTCTGGCTTGAGTTCAAATAACTTCAGTTACAGATAAGTAAAATGAGAAGAAAACATTAGGATAAAGACTATGCTACCAGCTTTGTCTCAATCAAATGGTTGCTAATATTCCTGTGGGAGTTACTAAAAGATCTGCATTAAACCCACGGCAAAAAGAAAGGGCTTTTCCTTCCTAGGCCAGCTGTTGAGTTCGGAACACTGGCCTAAGACAAATCTGTTGTGTTGCTTACCTTTATTTACATAGTACTTGCATTTAAACCCTACAGAGTGTGATTTGGGTGCCCAGCATTGACATTGCCAAACAGTGTTTGAAGAATGTTTGTCTTCCAGACTAAGGTTTCAATTTAGAAAGGTGTGGCTGTTCAATGAAAGTTTTCAGGTGTGTGCTGAAATACAGTCCAGAACTGAGGCCAAGGTTTGTGAATAACACGGCAATATTTCACCTTCTGTATCCTGCAAGGGCACAGGTATAATGCTGTCAGTTGCTGCTAGTGAGAGCAAACGTCTTAAGTACACGCTTGTAAAAAATAAAAAAAAAATTGCCCTGAAATACATGAAAGCTGTGATGACAACCAAAGTATTAATTGCCTTATATTCTACATCATTGATTGCTTAGGTAGCACATATAATGTGATTTTACCTCAGGTGTACGCTAAGGACTTTTCAGGTAGTATCTTACATCAAACTGTTAATGGAGTAAGTATGATACTAAACAGACTGATTGGTCCAACAGTTCAATTTGTAAAGAGTTGGGTTTGGTCATTATTAAACCGAGCAAGTTTCGCAGAAGACCTAACGCTCGAGTCCCTCAAATACCCCCACGTTGTTAATGACCACTGTTCTTGTTCGGTTTAAGCCTTCCTTTTCAGTGGCCAAACCTGTAAAAGCACCAAGTGCAGAATTGTGTGAGAGAAGTCACCAGGCCTCTATTTGTCACACGCTAAAACAGGAGAATGGACGCATGTGAAGAGTCAGGGTAGGAAAGAGAAAGAGTAGAAGTGGAATTCAGATGTCTAAATGCGATTTGTGCTTTTGAAGGTGTTCCTAAAGGTTTATGGAATTAAGTTTTATTAATAAATGTAAATCTGCCTCACAGGTCTTGTTAACCGAGTATAGCAGCAGACAAGAGTTTGTTTGGAATGAAAATCATAGAATCATAGAATCGTCTAGGTTGGAAAAGACCTTTAAGATCATCCAGTCCAACCATTAACCTACACTACCAAGCCCGCCTAAACCAATCAAGGGTAGACTAGACTAAACCATGTCCCCAAGTGCCACATCTACCTGTTTTTTGAACACTTCCAGGGATGGGGACTCCACCACCTCTCTGGGCAGCCTCTTCCAATGCTTGACCACCCTTTCTGTAAAGAAATTTTTCCTAATTTCCAGCCTAAACCTCCCCTGGCGCAGCTTGAGCCCATTTCCTCTCGTCCTATGTTGTATATGTCCTATGTTGTATGGAAATTTTCAATCATGTGGCGTTAACTAAGCGACTACTCGAAAGCTGAGGAAAAAAAGCGCTTGAGTGTTTAGCGTGTTATATTAATTATCTGGATTCGTGAAGAAGTGTATTTTCCTAATATTTTTTTAATGGTACGAGAGTAGATAAGAAACGAAACTTTTCCCTCACAGGCAGCCTCACGTGATAGAGTCCTGCTTGGCAGGACGCTAGACAGGTGGTAACTATCTGTATTTCTTTATTAGAAAGCTTCTGTTGTACAAAACGCAAATGAAGCTAGCTTTTGAAGATCAACCGGCCGGCCGGCAGTGGCGTTACGCTCCCTGTACGTGGTACACGGAGTCCTGCGTCCAGCAAGGCCGTCCCCACGCAGATTCCTGTCCCTGGGCCTGAGGGGTCCCTCGCCTCGCCGGCTTGGGGTTTTTTTCCTACGGCTCCGCTTGCCGGCGGAACTCTCGGCCGGCGTTTCAGAGCTGGCTGGATCCTACCAGAGGCAGCGAGGCCGCTTCCTGACGTGCAGCGGCTCGGGCGCTCCCCGGTTTCACCGCGTTCGCC